TGAGGACAATGATTATGTTATAGAAAGTGCGACAAACAAAAAAAAAAAAAATATATATATATATATTTGTTGCGCGGGGCCAGTCCCTCTGTCCGTCTCTTGTCAGCATAAAAAAAGGCATTTTAGTTGACCTTCCTCTCTGGCATCAACTGCAGCAGTTGTCGAGCATGCGTGCCAGCTCCAAGGCCAAGCAGCCCCAAACCTTCAGTGATTCAAAATCGATAAATGGAGAATAGAAAGCCACACTCATAGACTCATAGAGCAAAACAACGAAAACAATGACCAAAAGCTGAGAAAAGGTGGGGCAAACTGACTTGCAATCACCTTCAAGGCAGCAACAAGAATCTGTCGAAATCGTACAGTATGTGGGGAAAGTTATTTTAGAAATCCTGTGCATTCACAGGACGGGCAGCTCTTGCGAAGAGGCGCTGTGTGCAAAAGTGTTTCACTTGTGTTCACAATATGACTCAACCTTTGACTGCAGCGGTGCTCATTCGAGCACCAACCAAAAAGAAGCTTTTTCGACGTCACTTTGGACGCCAAAGCTCTACAAGCTCAGCCTCCGCCCTTCAATCACGTCGCGGAGCGTTCTTTGGTGGCGCTCCCTCAGCTCATGCATTTACATCAATTCCCTCGTTAGTGAGCTTCCTCGATTCCATGACAAACAATTCCAGACTCCAAAACATATGTGAATAAAAGACTTTGATGTTGTCAACTCGACTTCCTCCAGGTGACTTCGACTTCCGGGGTGTCAAGCTAGGTGTTGGCAACCGAGCATGCGGAGTTCCAGGAGCTCGAGGGGTGCCTCCAGTCGTGATGGGCCTGGGAAACAAAGGGCCTGAGAGAGACATGCCAAACTCTGCAAAGGGTTGCTTTCCAGAATTGTGGGCGTGGCCTGCATTCATCTGTGTTGCGCTTTGACATGTAGGCACTACTGACCGCCTGAAGCATTGCATGGAGCGTGCCGGTGCTGCTATCGAATGCAACGAGGTTCTGAAAAGGAAGGGTGTGCAAAACTGTTCCTCGAAGCGGCACAGTTTGGTCCATTTCCTAAGGTGCTCCTAGTTGCGTGGGGTACATAAAAGCAACTGTGTTGTTTCTCTCTCCAATGTGCTACATGATGTTGCAAAAACACCCGCCTTGGAAGGAGCTGGCGCAGCTTGGGCAGCTAAATGGTCTCCTGTCCGCTTAGCTTCGCCAAATCCAAATATGCACACAACGGCGGGAACAATACAGAAACGACATGACTTGGCATAATAAGAAAGGCTGCCAATAAACCAAGGATGAATATGTATAGTAGGCTGCATGCTTGTGTACAAATATAGAAACATGCGCCAATTGATTATACACAAGTACAAAACAAACATGTTCACTGCAGCTTCCACGGCCACCTTTACAGTCTTCAGTATACTTCACAGTGAGTGTGCGCTTCCATGGCTGCCAACATCCTAAATCTGGCAGTCAAGGCACTGATCTCGCTCATGAGCTCTTGCAGCTTGGCATTGGCCTGAAGAATACCCACAAACGAGGTTTCGAGATGTTCCGAACGCGTGCTTGTTGAATCGAACTGATTGAAGCAATGCAATCTTGTCTAGATATGATACAGCAAGGAAAACGTGTCAAGGACTGGAGTTCCTCTGCTTCAGTCTCCATCCGCCGCTGCTTCTGCTCAGCTTGGAGGTCCCGCTGCTCACAACGACGGACTGTCCTCAACAAAGCTGGGCGACGGGAAACGGACGGCAGGTTTCTCTTTCAATCTTCACCTGTAGAACTTAACATAGGCTGCAAAGAATCCTGTGAAAAAATATCACCCTTCACGGAGGGCTTTGAAAGCAAATGAGAAAACAAGGCAGCAAAACAACTCTCCACATCAAACATCAGCAGCTGACTTACAAGTATATTGGGGGTTGTTCAAAATACCTTTTCCAAAAAACTATCCTTGCGCCGGCCTTGGGCGAATCTTGCGCGGATCTTGCGCGAACACAGTAAAACTACATTTTCTATTCAATTATATAAGTGTTTCGTTTACCTGTTTTCGTGGGTGTGTATTTGTATGTAAACGGAGAGTTTACAAACCACAGGGCAGGGGGCTAGCGACCCATTTCTCGACCTTCCCGGTGTGTGTTTGTTTGCTGCACTGCAGCTTCCCTTTTTTTTTCAATCACTATGCCAAACAGCTGGCTCAAAGAAGTCAACATGGCCAGTCCAGTTCTACATACATTCGGGCTTGCGCGGATCTTGCGCGAACCTTGCGCGGACGTCGATCCTGTTTTGGCCACATTTCGAAGCATATGGCTAAAACATTATGAAGCATACTTGAAGCCTGAAAGCGTTAAGACCTCACAAATCTCGGTTTCACTCCACAAAGCACAAGCTAGCAACAACAGTTTTCGTAGAAATTCGGGTAACTAGTAAGGAGTCCATGCGCAAAACCTTGCGCCGGCCTTGCGCGAACCTTGCGCGATGCAGGTTTTAGACTACCTACTATCAATCAAAAGAATCGTGCTACTAAATTCTGTTGTGTGGGTTTTGGAACGATACATTTCTCACATGATATTTCTGCGTTCACTCTAGTCTGCTTTCCTTCTTCGCCTAAGGCTTGCGCCAAAGAAAATGCTCTTGTCGAGGCCCCTCTTCACCACTGCGACCCACCGCGAACCAGTCACTGTGCATCATCAAAGCCTGCATCCCCACCTGGACTGGATGACTCTGCGCTGCTCAAGAGACCACATCTCTCCTATGTTAAACCATGCACCTGCGACACTGCAAGCAGGAAAGCTGCGAGAGGAGGTGGTGGTGCAACATTGGGATCATTGCCTGTCAAAGCATGACACTCAAAAATGAAATTGCAAAACGCCTGCGCTATTGAAAGGATATTAACCTTCAGATACTACAAAGCCAAAGCTGAGCCATGCCATACTGGCCGTGGCGTCACTGCAATGCAAGTGCTGGCCAAATAACTGGGAAAAAGGATGAAGAGCAAAATGGAGCCGACCGTGCAAAATATCCTCAGTCGAGGTGAGCAATAGGAGTGATGAGTCAGTAGGAATAAAGAAATATAAACAGAACAATTAAGTAGAATCAAGACATCACCTGAGAAGGGGGGCCGAAAGCCAGCCTTTCAAACAGAGCGCTAACATAATCTTTCAACGCGCTTTCTTTACAGCTACTTGAGGGACCTAACTAGACCCCGCAAGATAGCACTCCTTTAATGGTGCCCGTCTTGTCTTTGCCAAGGACCGTGATAAAACGATCAAATAGGGCACCACCACTGGACCACACATGCCCTTCAAACAGACCGCAGACATAGTCTTTCGACATATTTTCTTTGCGGCTACTTGGGGGGAGATCCCAGAAAATAGCCCTCCTTTGCTGGTGCCGGCATTGCTTTCCCCAAAGCCAGGCAGTGGTACTATGTTGACTTGTTTGACCTTGGTGGCTGCAAAGTCACGAGAACGATTGAAAGCATAGGATGAGGATGAGTGGATTGAGCGATTGATCATTCACCTAGGTTTTCCTTCTCCTGGACCATTGCGAGTTACCACAGTCTACGAAGTCATGTTGGGGGCGCCCTTTTTTAGCACCCAAACGGTCCAAACGGTGAATGTCCAAGGGAGATGGAGGTGAAAATCTCTGTTTGTACAAGAGCGTGGGAGTCAATGTGGGCAGCCCCCGGCCCATCAGCCATGTTCTCCAACTCTTACATAGCCACGACGAGCGGCAGGCTGCTGTCCACTTATTATTGGTATCCTAGCAACTTTTTGATTGTAGTTATGCACCATTCGCTGCTCAACAATTTTGGCATCACTCGCAGCACCATCGCCCTTATAAACACACATGTTGACTACATGTTACCCCAAATTGTTTTAGCTCTCCCCCACCATGCTTTGGGCCCGAAAGGTACCACCTCGCAACCGACCCCCTTACACCCCTAATACTCACTTCGTTCGCCCATCACTCCAGCCTGGCCTACCGGCTGGCTTTCGTAAAAAGTAAGAATTGGTATTGAAGAGGATGTCGAATATTAATGAAATTTGAATGCAGAGTTTGCTAGGACAGCTGTGCCAGCGTTCCAAGGATCACTGCAGCAGCAACCAGGTATCGGAAACAACAACTCCGCGAGCGTAACTTTTGCATGCCCAACCTTGGACAGTTCTTGAGTTTTGTTCGACACATCGGCTGATCAGAATACGGTGCAGTTGCAATGATTTAAGCCAGGCGCAAGCAATTGCAGCAGTACTTTGCTCTTTCCTCAGACCCAGGGCGCCGTGCATAGTTTCAAGAATTCTGGCATAGAAGAACACTGCGCTTTCAGCATCAGCCTGCTTGCACACCAATTCTGTGAGCACCGTAACTGTAGAAGCAACTTCCCGTTCTGCGCCTTCTACCTTCGTTCTGCCAGACAGGTACAGACAAGTCTCTCGCTGAAAAAGGAGGTCCGACTCTGTTTCTAGACGACCATACTCATTGCTGTAGATGGCAATGATCATGTTCAGGATCCTCGTGGTCTGCAAGCGTTCAGCTGAGTGACATTGAAAGAGACGCATGGAGACACTAAGAAACAAATACAGTACACAAACCTGTGAGCATGACTATGCCGGCAACAGCCGAGCATCACAATGAAGGTAACAGTGCCAAGGATTGCCATGATTGTCAGAAGCCACTGCAGCACCTTGGTGCAACAGCCATTCATAAACTTGCCCCATATTGATTTCACAACGGGTCTGGAAAGTGGGTCTCGGAGAAGCAAACAATGTTTTCTGCTACCTGTGTCCTGCGTGAGACGTCTGAAATGCAGGCCAAGCGCGTCAATGTCTTCGATGAAGCCACCTCAATTTGGAGCTCTGGCAAGCCAAGCTGAGAGATAATGTTTGAGAGTTCGCTGCTGTTGGGCTCTCTTGGCACAAAGGCCAAATGCATACTTGAAGTTTGCCAAAACTCGGAAGTGACGTGTGATGGTTGTTCCTGCTTTTGGTGTTCGTGGAGCCATCTGTTTGTCAAGTGCTTGCGGTGTTCATTCTTACATCAACATTATTACGTTGACAGCTAAAAACGTCATTCCGATGGCTGACAAGCAACTGCTACTCTGAAGGGCTGAGAGGTGAGAAGTGGAAGTGAGGTGAAGATGACAAATTAGCTTCTTGTTCCTAGTTGCGTCCTTGCTCCTAGTAGTACGGCCAGGAGCCCCTTGCATCATTCTTGCTACTAGTAGCGATGCTAGGAGCCCCTAGTGCCCTAGTTGCGTCCTTGCTCCTAGTAGTACGGCCAGGAGCCCCTAGTAGCGTTCTTGCTCCTAGTAGCGATGCTAGGAGCCCCTAGTTGCGTCCTTGC